AGGCCGTGGGAGTCAGGAGGATAGGCAGTAGGCTGTGGAGGTCAGGAGGATAAGCAGTAGGCCGTGGGAGTCAGGAGGACAGGCAGTAGGCCGTGGGAGTCAGGAGGATAGGCAGTAGGCCGTGGGAGTCAGGAGGATAGGCAGTAGGCCGTGGGAGTCAGGAGGATAGGCAGTAGGCCGTGGGAGTCAGGAGGATAGGCAGTAGGCCGTGGGAGTCAGGAGGATAGGCAGTAGGCCGTGGGAGTCAGGAGGACAGGCAGTAGGCCGTGGGAGTCAGGAGGATAGGCAGTAGGCCGTGGGAGTCAGGAGGACAGGCAGTAGGCCGTGGGAGTCAGGAGGATAGGCAGTAGGCCGTGGGAGTCAGGAGGATAGGCAGTAGGCCGTTGGATTCAGGAGGACAGGCAGTAGGCCGTGGGAGTCAGGAGGATAGGCAGTAGGCCGTGGGAGTCAGGAGGACAGGCAGTAGGCCGTGGGAGTCAGGAGGATAGGCAGTAGGCCGTGGGAGTCAGGAGGATAGGCAGTAGGCCGTGGGAGTCAGGAGGATAGGCAGTAGGCCGTGGGAGTCAGGAGGATAGGCAGTAGGCCGTGGGAGTCAGGAGGACAGGCAGTAGGCCGTGGGAGTCAGGAGGATAGGCAGTAGGCCGTGGGAGTCAGGAGGATAGGCAGTAGGCCGTGGGAGTCAGGAGGACAGGCAGTAGGCCGTGGGAGTCAGCAGGATAGGCAGTAGGCCGTGGGAGTCAGGAGGATAGGCAGTAGGCCGTGGGAGTCAGGAGGATAGGCAGTAGGCCGAGGGAGTCAGGAGGTTAGGCAGTAGGCCGTGGGAGTCAGGAGGATAGGCAGTAGGCCGTGGGAGTCAGGAGGATAGGCAGTAGGCCGTGGGAGTCAGGAGGATAGGCAGTAGGCCGTGGGAGTCAGGAGGATAGGCAGTAGGCCGTGGGAGTCAGGAGGATAGGCAGTAGGCCGTGGGAGTCAGGAGGATAGGCAGTAGGCTGTGGGAGTCAGGAGGACAGGCAGTAGGCCGTGGGAGTCAGGAGGATAGGCAGTAGGCCGTGGGAGTCAGGAGGATAGGCAGTAGGCCGTGGGAGTCAGGAGGATAGGCAGTAGGCCGTGGGAGTCAGGAGGATAGGCAGTAGGCCGTGGGAGTCAGGAGGACAGGCAGTAGGCCGTGGGAGTCAGGAGGATAGGCAGTAGGCCGTGGGAGTCAGGAGGATAGGCAGTAGGCCATGGGAGTCTGGAGGATAGGCAGTAGGCCGTGGGAGTCAGGAGGATAGGCAGTAGGCCGTGGGAGTCAGGAGGATAGGCAGTAGGCTGTGGGAGTCAGGAGGACAGGCAGTAGGCCGTGGGAGTCAGGAGGATAGGCAGTAGGCCGTGGGAGTCAGGAGGATAGGCAGTAGGCTGTGGGAGTCAGGAGGACAGGCAGTAGGCCGTGGGAGTCAGGAGGATTGGCAGTAGGCCGTGGGAGTCAGGAGGATAGGCAGTAGGCCGTGGGAGTCAGGAGGATAGGCAGTAGGCCGTGGGAGTCAGGAGGATAGGCAGTAGGCCGTGGGAGTCAGGAGGATAGGCAGTAGGCCGTGGGAGTCAGGAGGATAGGCAGTAGGCCGTGGGAGTCAGGAGGATAGGCAGTAGGCCGTGGGAGTCAGGAGGACAGGCAGTAGGCCGTGGGAGTCAGGAGGATAGGCAGTAGGCCGTGGGAGTCAGGAGGACAGGCAGTAGGCCGTGGGAGTCAGCAGGATAGGCAGTAGGCCGTGGGAGTCAGGAGGATAGGCAGTAGGCCGTCGGAGTCAGGAGGATAGGCAGTAGGCCATGGGAGTCAGGAGGATAGGCAGTAGGCCGTGGGAGTCAGGAGGATAGGCAGTAGGCCGTGGGAGTCAGGAGGATAGGCAGTAGGCCGTGGAGGTCAGGAGGATAAGCAGAAGGCCGTGGGAGTCAGGAGGACAGGCAGTAGGCCGTGGGAGTCAGGAGGATAGGCAGTAGGCCGTGGGAGTCAAGAGGATAGGCAGAAGGCCGTGGGAGTCAGGAGGATAGGCAGTAGGCCGTGGGAGTCAGGAGGATAGGCAGTAGGCCGTGGGAGTCAGGAGGATAGGCAGTAGGCCGTGGGAGTCAGGAGGATAGGCAGTAGGCCGTGGGAGTCAGGAGGACAGGCAGTAGGCCGTGGGAGTCAGGAGGATTGGCAGTAGGCCGTGGGAGTCAGGAGGATAGGCAGTAGGCCGTGGGAGTCAGGAGGATAGGCAGTAGGCCGTGGGAGTCAGGAGGATAGGCAGTAGGCCGTGGGAGTCAGGAGGATAGGCAGTAGGCCGTGGGAGTCAGGAGGACAGGCAGTAGGCCGTGGGAGTCAGGAGGACAGGCAGTAGGCCGTGGGAGTCAGGAGGATAGGCAGTAGGCCGTGGGAGTCAGGAGGATAGGCAGTAGGCCGTGGGAGTCAGGAGGACAGGCAGTAGGCCGTGGGAGTCAGGAGGATAGGCAGTAGGCCGTGGGAGTCAAGAGGATAGGCAGTAGGCCGTGGGAGTCAGGAGGATAGGCAGTAGGCCGTGGGAGTCAGGAGGATAGGCAGTAGGCCGTGGGAGTCAGGAGGATAGGCAGTAGGCCGTGGGAGTCAGGAGGACAGGCAGTAGGCCGTGGGAGTCAGGAGGATAGGCAGTAGGCCGTGGGAGTCAGGAGGATAGGCAGTAGGCCGTGGGAGTCAGGAGGACAGGCAGTAGGCCGTGGGAGTCAGGAGGATAGGCAGTAGGCCGTGGGAGTCAGGAGGATAGGCAGTAGGCCGTGGGAGTCAGGAGGATAGGCAGTAGGCCGAGGGAGTCAGGAGGATAGGCAGTAGGCCGTGGGAGTCAGGAGGATAGGCAGTAGGCCGTGGGAGTCAGGAGGATAGGCAGTAGGCCGTGGGAGTCAGGAGGATAGGCAGTAGGCCGTGGGAGTCAGGAGGATAGGCAGTAGGCCGTGGGAGTCAGGAGGATAGGCAGTAGGCCGTGGGAGTCAGGAGGATAGGCAGTAGGCTGTGGGAGTCAGGAGGACAGGCAGTAGGCCGTGGGAGTCAGGAGGATAGGCAGTAGGCCGTGGGAGTCAGGAGGATAGGCAGTAGGCCGTGGGAGTCAGGAGGATAGGCAGTAGGCCGTGGGAGTCAGGAGGATAGGCAGTAGGCCGTGGGAGTCAGGAGGACAGGCAGTAGGCCGTGGGAGTCAGGAGGATAGGCAGTAGGCCGTGGGAGTCAGGAGGATAGGCAGTAGGCCATGGGAGTCTGGAGGATAGGCAGTAGGCCGTGGGAGTCAGGAGGATAGGCAGTAGGCCGTGGGAGTCAGGAGGATAGGCAGTAGGCCGTGGGAGTCAGGAGGACAGGCAGTAGGCCGTGGGAGTCAGGAGGATAGGCAGTAGGCCGTGGGAGTCAGGAGGATAGGCAGTAGGCTGTGGGAGTCAGGAGGACAGGCAGTAGGCCGTGGGAGTCAGGAGGATTGGCAGTAGGCCGTGGGAGTCAGGAGGATAGGCAGTAGGCCGTGGGAGTCAGGAGGATAGGCAGTAGGCCGTGGGAGTCAGGAGGATAGGCAGTAGGCCGTGGGAGTCAGGAGGATAGGCAGTAGGCTGTGGGAGTCAGGAGGATAGGCAGTAGGCCGTGGGAGTCAGGAGGATAGGCAGTAGGCCGTGGGAGTCAGGAGGATAGGCAGTAGGCCGTGGGAGTCAGGAGGACAGGCATTAGGCCGTGGGAGTCAGGAGGATAGGCAGTAGGCCGTGGGAGTCAGGAGGACAGGCAGTAGGCCGTGGGAGTCAGCAGGATAGGCAGTAGGCCGTGGGAGTCAGGAGGATAGGCAGTAGGCCGTGGGAGTCAGGAGGATAGGCAGTAGGCCGTGGGAGTCAGGAGGATAGGCAGTAGGCCGTGGGAGTCAGGAGGATAGGCAGTAGGCCGTGGGAGTCAGGAGGATAGGCAGTAGGCCGTGGGAGTCAGGAGGATAGGCAGTAGGCCGTGGGAGTCAGGAGGATAGGCAGTAGGCCGTGGGAGTCAGGAGGATAGGCAGTAGGCCGTGGGAGTCAGGAGGACAGGCAGTAGGCCTTGGGAGTCAGGAGGATAGGCAGTAGGCCGTGGGAGTCAGGAGGAATGGCAGTAGGCCATGGGAGTCAGGAGGATAGGCAGTAGGCCGTGGGAGTCAGGAGGATAGGCAGTAGGCCGTGGGAGTCAGGAGGATAGGCAGTAGGCCGTGGGAGTCAGGAGGATAAGCAGTAGGCCGTGGGAGTCAGGAGGACAGGCAGTAGGCCGTGGGAGTCAGGAGGATAGGCAGTAGGCCGTGGGAGTCAAGAGGATAGGCAGAAGGCCGTGGGAGTCAGGAGGATAGGCAGTAGGCCGTGGGAGTCAGGAGGATAGGCAGTAGGCCGTGGGAGTCAGGAGGATAGGCAGTAGGCCGTGGGAGTCAGGAGGATAGGCAGTAGGCCGTGGGAGTCAGGAGGACAGGCAGTAGGCCGTGGGAGTCAGGAGGATAGGCAGTAGGCCGTGGGAGTCAGGAGGATAGGCAGTAGGCCGTGGGAGTCAGGAGGATAGGCAGTAGGCCGTGGGAGTCAGGAGGATAGGCAGTAGGCCGTGGGAGTCAGGAGGATAGGCAGTAGGCCGTGGGAGTCAGGAGGACAGGCAGTAGGCCGTGGGAGTCAGGAGGATAGGCAGTAGGCCGTGGGAGTCAGGAGGATAGGCAGTAGGCCGTGGGAGTCAGGAGGACAGGCAGTAGGCCGTGGGAGTCAGGAGGATTGGCAGTAGGCCGTGGGAGTCAGGAGGATAGGCAGTAGGCCGTGGGAGTCAGGAGGACAGGCAGTAGGCCGTGGGAGTCAGGAGGATAGGCAGTAGGCCGTGGGAGTCAAGAGGATAGGCAGTAGGCCGTGGGAGTCAGGAGGATAGGCAGTAGGCCGTGGGAGTCAGGAGGATAGGCAGTAGGCCGTGGGAGTCAGGAGGATAGGCAGTAGGCCGTGGGAGTCAGGAGGATAGGCAGTAGGCCGTGGGAGTCAGGAGGATAGGCAGTAGGCCGTGGGAGTCAGGAGGATAGGCAGTAGGCCGTGGGAGTCAGGAGGACAGGCAGTAGGCCGTGGGTGTGGAAGGAGAAAGAGAGAGCCCCGTAGTAGGCACAGGCGTGGGACATGGCGAGGGTGGCGCCTATGCAAACAGAAGAGAGAACATCTGAGGATTGACGGGAATACCTGGGGCTGGCGCGTGTGGAAGGAGAAAGACAGAGCCCCGTAGTAGGCACAGGCGTGGGACATGGCGAGGGTGTACTCTCCTGGGGACTCCACACAGAACTCCTGCACTCCAGGCTGCAGAGCGGTGGAGAAAGGTGGAGTGGGGTGAAGAAGGGTGGAGAGGGGTGACAAGGGGTATGGCAGGTTAAGTGGAGACTGTGACATGGCGAGGGTGTATTCTCCTCGTAACTCCACACAGAACTCCTGCACTCCAGGCTGCAAAGCGGTGGACAGGGTTGTAAAGGGGTGGGGTTACAAATAAGATGAAATGAGTGGAGTGGTGGTCGTCACAAGTCAATGTGATGTGAACCTGGTCTCCACTGCTGCCCTCTCACTATGTTTGGGAACACTTTCAGTCACCACACTACGCCGCGTTGCACTGCACTACACCACACTATGCCACAGTGTGAGACCAACAGCTGCTCTCACCGACACAAAGAAGCCAGTGGGATCATAGTCGCCGTGAGTCAGCATGAACCTGTCATCCATTGCGGCCCGCACCACCTTGTTATCATTCTCCCCCAATGGCACCACACACTCACCGACACAGAGAAGCCAGTGGGGTCATAGTCGCCGTGAGTCAGTGTGAGCCTTCTGAGTTGACTCAAAAGACAGCGTGAACCAGCCCTCCACGGCAACCGTCTATGTGCGTGCCATTCAGAGTGGTTCACACTATGAGCCAACAGCTGCGCTGCTGCCACCGAGACAGAGAAGTCAGTGGGGTCATAGTTGCCTGTGGGTCGTAGTCCCTGTGGGTCAACGTGAATCTGTCCTCGTTGACTTTTGAGTCGACTCTGAAGTCAGCCCTGTGGGTCAACGTAAATCTGTCGTCCATGGCTGCTCGCACCACCATGCGCCACCCACTCTCTCTCCCCCTGTGGAAAACCCCCTCCAGCCACCTACCTATCTCTATGGACCATCGTATGGAGTGGTGCCATGCTCTCACCGACACAGACAAGTCAGTGGGGTCATAGTCGCCGTGGGTCAGTGTGAATCTGTCGTCCATGGCTGCCCAAACCACCATGAGCCACCCCTCTCTCTCTCTCTTGACACTTCAATACAACCTCAACGCCTGCTCTTGCCATTGCTGCATGCTCTTATCTTACCGAGACAGAGAAGTCAGCGGGGTCATAGTCTCCGTGAGTCAACGTGAATCTGTCCTCCATGGCTGACCCCCCTCTGCGTGTGAAAGCAGGTTCAGACACCACACTATACCTCACTACGCCACACTATACCACAGTATTACCATACCAACAGCCGCACTCACAGACACAGACAAGTCAGTGGGGTCATAGTCCCCGTGATTCAGAGTAAACCTGTCATCCATAGCTGCCCGCACCACCATGCGTTACCACTGTTGTGTGCAATGCTGTAACGCCACGCCTCCAAGTAGTGCACCTACCGACACAGACAAGTCAGTGGGGTCATAGTCCCCGTGATTCGAAGTGAACCTGTCCTCCATGGCTGCCCGCACCACCATGCTACCAGTCTCCCCCTATGGCACCACACACTCACAGACACAGAGAAGTCAGTAGGGTCATACTCCCCGTGAGTCAACGTGAATCTGTCATACATTGCTGACCCGCTCTGCGTGTGAAAGCAGGTTTGGAAACCACACAATACCTCACTACGCCACACTATACCACAGTACCATACCAACAGCCACACCTACCGAGACAGAGAAGTCAGTGGGGTCATATTCCCCGTGAGTCAACGTGAACCTGTCATCCATTGCCGCCCGCACCACCATACGCCACCCGCGCTGCGCCAGCTGTACGTTCGTCACGGGCGAATCAAACACCGCCACGTCAGTGCGGCCCTCCTCCTCCCAGCACCACTCGCCGCTCTGCAGAGCGGTGGCAGTGGCGGGAGTCTTACGAGCCTTTTGTGTGGAGGGAAAGGGGGGAGTGGGAGGGGGGACGAAGTGGGGGATGGGAGCATTTTGTTGACGTGCGTACTCCTCCCAGCAGGCAGTGGCATTATTGCTGGGAGCTGCATCGGCCTGCATGGGGTGGGGAGGGATAGTGGAAGATAGAGGACAGGAGAGAAGCGGAAAGGGGCAAAACGAGATGAGAGGGGGAAGCAAAACGTAAGAATGGCAAGAAGAGAGCTCATTAGAGTTTCCTCCGGTGGCCTGGCCAACCCACCTCGATTCGGTACGACCCAGGCAGCAATCTGTCAAAGAAGAACGATCTGCCCCTAATGCTGTGCCCCTCTCTTGACTGCCCCGCTACTACCTCCCGTCCCCTTCCCCTCTGGTCTCCCCTGTGAAACACACCTCTCCAATCAATGACACATTCACATGCCCCACTCACCTCAATTCGGTATGACCCAGGCAGCAGACGGTCAAAGAAGAACGATCCGACCGTCCCTTTCTCCTCCACCACAACTGCACTCCTCCCCTTCCCCTCCCCTCTCTCATTTACCTTCCTTCTCCCCTTCGCCTTTCCCCACTGACCTTCCGCCTTCCCCCCTGCCTCCCCCTCCCCTCCTCCCACTACCACCCGTTGTAAAAACGTGCCCTGCTGCTGCTCCGTTTCTCCATCTGCCCGTTCATCTGCCCCATTGTCTGTGAGAGCCCAGAGTGTGACTGAAACGGTTGAGTCACACCCCTGCAGGCACCGCACCTTGCCTGATATGAACAGGTGTGACTGTAATGGGGATGGGTGGGGAAAATGGAACAGGTGTGACTAACAGTAGTGACTGTAAGGTTTGTTACAATACAGATGGATACGAAACGATACGATGTGATACAATATGATGCGGTACATTATGATACGATTCAATATAGTACGATATGGTCCGATACGATACGATATCATATGATATATAAATCGTAAAATCAGGGTGTAGACATGTTGCATACCTGTTTGAAGACTATGTTTGTGACGGGGGCAGATGTGACAGTAACGGATTCCTCTATAGAGGGGGAGAAGATCAGCCCTGATGCCACCTCATCTGGGCTAATCTCAGGCACCAATTGGTAGCTGCCACGTGGCACCTGGGGGCAGCAGGAGAGAGTGGGAGTTGGGTCAACAGTAAAATGGAGTGGGATGGGGGAGAAGGGAAAGAAAGGAGGGGAGGAGGGAGGGGAAGGGAGAGAGTAGGGCAGGAAAGTGCTAAGGAACTTTCTGTTGCACCTAGAATCAGCCCCAAGTAAACAAGCTGCCACGTAATTGCCAACACAACAAGCTGACTTTTGAGTCGACTCAAAAGTCACCTAGCTGCCGCGTAATTGCCAACACACCAAGCTCTCCCCCAAAAAATGCATCGGACAAAAAACAATGGAACCTCTTTTGAGGATCTCCCATGTCTTACGACCAATTTGCACTCCATTCTCAGGTATCGCCTAGAGTCACCCATCTCCACCCATCTCCACCCATCTCCACCCATCTCCACCCATCTCCACCCATCTCCACCCATCTCCACTCATCTCTCCATGCACCCTATTCTCCACTCACTCATCTCTCCTCTCAACCACTTCCATACACCCCACCTACCATGAAGCAGAACCGCCCATCTTTGTCCGCCTCTGCAATCACCGGAGCCACACTCCTGCCCGCCTCCTGCCTACAGCCACTCACCGCCACTCACCACTGCTCACCACCGCTCACCAACACCCACCATGAAGCAGAACCGGCCGTCTTTGTATGCCTCTGCAATCACCGGAGCCACACTCCTGCTCGCTTCCTGCCTGCTCAATTGCTCACCCCATGCTCTCCCCGCTCACACTCGTTTCCAATCCAGATCAAACCACCCACCCACCCCACCCACCCCACCCCACCCCACCCCACCCCACCCCACCCCACCCCACCCCACCCCACCCCACCCCACCCCACCCCACCCACCATGAAGCAGAACCGGCCATCCTTGTCCGCCTCTGCAATCACTGGAGCCACACTCGTGCTCGCTTCCTGCCTTCTCAACCCCTTGTTGCTGCTGCTGCTGCCACTGCTCCTGCTGCTGCTGCCCCTGCTAATTCCTCCGGAACTCATGCTGCTGCTGCCCCTGCTAATTCCTCCTGAGCGCATGCTGCTGCTCAGAGCCCCCCAGCTGGGGTCCTGAGAACCGTCCATGTGAGACCCGTCGAAATCACCAGCTCGGCTTAGCTCCACCCGCCGCCACGGCACAAAGGACGACTCGCCGCCCGGGTCCATCTCCACGCGCCCGCACAGCGCATACCGGGTGGCACGGATGGGCGGCAGGGAAATGGCAGTTAGCGCGGCAGCTTCTGTTTCGCTTGCATTGGTGGTGGCTTTGGCATCATCAGTAGCAGCAGTGGCGGTAGCAGGAGCAGGAGGGAGGGTGATGTTTGAAAGGGTTGGGAAGACATAGAGGGGTCGGACTGCTGATATGGTGTGAGTGGTGGGGAGAGGTGGGGAAGGAGGGGGCGGAGTGGGAGGAGTGGGAGGCGGGATGGGTGTTGCAGAGGGGGGGTGGTGGAGGGGTGCAGATGAGAGGAGGGAGGTGGGGAATGTGAAGGAATAGTCGCCCTGCAGAGAAGGGAAAAGGGTTGCGGAGAGGAGAGGAGAGGGAGGCAAAGAGGAGAGCGGGCAAGGATATTGGCATGAAAGCCGGGAGTGCAAGGAAAAGGAATCAGGTGGTACACAGCATGAGGTGCAATCACAATAGGGTTACACAGCATCAGGTGCAATCACAATAGGGTTACACAGCAACAGGTGCAATCACAATAGGGTTACACAGCAGCAACCCTGTAGCAACCGTAACACAGAAACACCTTGTGACACTCACACTCACTATAGCCTTGCACAAAGGCCATGGTCGCATTGCCACACCCATTCTGCGCACCTTGTGACACTCACACTCACCATACCAGAGCGTAGTCACAGCCTCTGAGAGCCCATCCAGCATCACAGTCGCCCTATCCTCCACCCCAGGGCCTACTCCCCCCCCATCATCCTCTCACCACAACAGCCGCCACCAGTACCACCAATAGCCCACAAGAGCATCAGTGACATACACGAATAGCCCATCCAGCATCACAGTCGCACCCTCCACCCCACAGCCTTCCCCATCCTGCACCCGCTGAAACACCTACAACACCCCCTAGCCAAAGGGAGCACCAGCACCAATAACTCACCATAGGATCAGTGACAGCCCATTCAGCATCACTCACTGTCGCCCCCTCCACCCCACGGCCCTCCCCATCCTCCTCCAATACACCATAACATCAAAGAGGGCACCTACAGCACCTCTAATCAGAGGGAGAACTGGCATTAGCAACTCACCAGAGCGCCTGTCACAGCCGCTGAAAGCCCATCCAGCATCACTGTCGCTCCCTCCACAACCTGCCTCTGTGACACTACCTATAACTCCCCTAGCCACCGGTAGCACTAGCAACTCACAAGAGCGTCTGTCACAGCCACTGAAAGCCCATCCACCATCACTGCTGCCCCCTCCACCCACGACCTACTCTCCCCATGCTCCACCCACTTGACAAGTCCTAATAGGCTACCGCACTAGCAACTCACCAGAGCGTCTGTCACAGCCACTGAAAGCCCATCCACCATCACTGTCGCCCCCTCCACCCCACGGCCCTCCCCGTCCTCGACTCTGCCACTGCCTGTCACCAAAGCAGTTTCCAGCTGGGAAAAGGTGGAGGGGAAGAGGGTGAAAGGGCGGAGAGGGAAAAGAATTGAGCAGCCGTGAGAGCCCGTCCAGCAGCACTGTCGCTCCCTCCACCCCACGGCCCTCCCCGTCCTCGACTCTGCCACTGCCTGTCACCAAAGCAGTATCCAGCTGGGAAATGGTGGAGGGGAAGATGTTAGATTATACTACTCTTCTGTATCCTGCATTGATCCTATTGTAGAATGAGGATCGGTGAACTTGAGGCACAATGAGAGAAGAACAATATATCCTTAGTAGGAAGATGGTACAAGCCTGAAAGGCTAGAGCAATGTCCTTTCCAAGGATGAAATCTAGAGAAGTGGGAAGCCACATTTATGTGGCTGAACTCTTGAGGCTAGCTGCAGCACCTCAAAGCTGAGGGCAGGGCTAGCCAACCTTGCCAAGCTAGCAATTGAGGCCACATGTTGCACATGTGGGCCAGGCTGGAACAACAGCCTACATGGCAGCATGTGGCACACCATAGGAGCCAACAAGGTGAGTATGGGATGGGTGGACAGATGGCAATGCCAACTGTGACCACACTTCACTGTGGGTGAGTGTGGTGGAGTGTGGGAGTGTCATGTTCGGCATAATGAGAAGAGAAGGTGCTGCCGATGAGAGTTGAACCCGCGACCACTAAGACCAAAGGTACCCACTGGGACATTCTTGCTTCCACAACACCCCCCCTCAAGGATGTCCCCGGGGTAGGGTGCCTCAAGAGGAAACATGGGTGAGACCGAGAAGACCACGGATGCGAAGAAAAGGGTCACGGGGCAAAGGCTTGGTCCCAATGTCAGCGAGGTTGTCTTGAGTAGGAACATAGTGAAGGGTGATGGAGTGGTCGGCAACATGATCGCGAATGAAATGGTGCTTGATGTCGATGTGCTTGGCCTTGGGATGAAAGACGCCATCGTCCTTGGCGAGAATGATGGCACTGTTGTTGTCACACGAGATACGGGTGGGGCCGGTAGGGGGAAGTCCAACTGCAGTAAGGAGCGAACGAAGCCATAATGCCTCGTGCACCGCGGCGCCCAGAGAGTAATATTCAGCTTCACATGAAGAGGTAGCAACCACGGCTTGGCGTTTGGACTGCCAAGAGATGAGTGACGGACCGAGGAAGAACAAGTAGCACGTAACGGAGCGACGCAACTCCCCCTCCGGTCCCCAAGAGGCGTCACACCAGCCATGAAGTTCGAGGGTGTCGGGAATGCCACCAAGGAGAAGCCCAAGGGAGGTAGTCCCTTTCAAGTAGCGAGCAATGCGTTTGGCAGCCGAGCCGTGAGGAGTAGACCAATCGTGAAGGTGACGAGCAAGAACTCCAGCGCTATATGCGAGGTCGGGACGGGTCCCCACCATGGCATACATGATGGAGCCGACAAACGAGGTGTAAGGGAAGGAGGAGGAGTGCGGGGAGGAAGTCACGGGTGGCTGAAACTTTGTGTCCATGGGAGTGGCAGCGGGGTTCAGTGGAGAGAAGGAGTAGGTGTCTAGAATGGAGGTGATGAATTTGGATTGATGAAGGTGGAGAGTGCGGGAAGTTCGATCACGAGTGATGTGAAAGCCAAGGTAGTAGGAGAGAGGTCCGAGGTCACGAAGTCTGAAGCGAGATGAAAGGGCATGCTTGAATGAGGCAAGAAGAGAGGAGGAGGAGGAGAGAATGATGAGGTCGTCAACATAGACGAGAAGCATGAAGAAGGATGCAGCTGTAGGCCGATAAGGTGAGTGAGGAGGAGCAATGAAGAGGCCGGGGTCCGCACGAGCAGCAAAGAGGTGAAAGGCAGCAAGCTCCTCACGAAGCTTGCGATACCAGCATCGCAGAGCTTGCTTCAACCCGTACAGCGGTTTGTGCAAGAGACAAACTTGCTCAACACCATGGACCGCCGGAAGGTCATAATCGGGAGGCTGCATCATGTAGAGAATCTCATCAAGGGTGCCGTTGAGGAAGGCGTTGGAGATGTCCAGCTGATGGACGTCCAGGTTGAAAGCGGCAGCTATGGTGAGAAACAAGCGGAGGGTGGCGAAGCGGACGGTAGGAGCAAAGGTGTCATGAAAATCAACACCATCACGTTGCTTGAAGCCTTTGACAACAAGGCGGGCTTTGCGGCGTTCAATAGAACCATCAGCGTTCTCCTTGACCTTGAAAATCCATTTGCATGGAATCGGCTTGCACTTGGGTGGTCGAGGAACAATGCTGTAGGTGTCATTAGCGTGCAGGGCAGCGAGTTCCGCATCAGCAGCCTTGATCCATTCGGCAGCATCAGGGCCGGTACGAGCCTCATGAATGGTTTGAGGTTCGTAATGATGGTGAAGGGCAGCATTGGCAGAGGTGTTGGAAAGAGGAGGAAGAGTGAATTCAATGGGTTTGGAAGGGGATGGTAAGACCTTGAGGAAGGAGAAAAGGGAAGGATCGGGAAGAGCTGAGGGGGATGGCGGGGAGGAGCGAGTCGTGCAATGGGGAGGGGGAGGCGAAGAGGGAGGAGAGAAGGATGGAAGGTGAAAGTCTTGCGGCGTCGAGGGCAGAGGAAGGTTGGAAAACAATGGAGGAGGAGAAGATGTGGCTGGTGCGGGCAGGTTTGGGGATTGTGGGTGGGGGTTGGTGGAGGAAGGTATGGTGGGGGAAGGAGAGGGAGGGGAGATTGGGTCCAAGGAAGAAGGGTGTGTAGGAGGAGGTAGTGAGGAGGATGTGGGTGGAGATGACGATGGAGGGTCGCGAGAGTCGTCGGAAGGCGGTGCAGAGGGCTCCATGAAGATGACATCACGAGAAAGGATGACACGGTGCTGAGATGGGATATAGATGCGGTAAGCTTTGGTGCCGTCGAGATGACCATATCCAACCATGATGTCGGCCGTGCTTCGGTCGTCGAGCTTAGAACGCCGTTGGGAAGGAATGAGGACCGAGACGGGTGAACCGAAGATGCGGAGGTGTGATACATCCGGACGTGCACCGGTCCATAGTTCCATGGGAGTCTTAGAAGTTGAACCACCCCGACTAATGGCATGATTACGAAGATAGGTTGCAGTAAGAGCGGCTTCACCCCACCAGCCTTTGTCCATGTGTGCATCATGGAGCATGGAACGGACCATCTCAAGTAAAGTCCGGTTGGCCCGCTCAGCTACTCCATTTTGCTCAGGTGTGTATGGCGTGGAGAGGTGGCGGGCGATGCCATGAGCTGTAAGGAATGAAGTGAAGGCTTTGGAAGTGAACTCCAAGGCACCGTCAGAGCGAAAGGTTTTGATGGTGTGTGGGGAATGCATGTTGTGCACCCGAGTGACGTAAGCCTTGAAGCATGAAAGTGCCTCCGACCGGTGGCGTAGGAGATACACTGTAATGTGGCGGGAGTAGTCGTCGATGAAGGTGAGAAGGTAGCGAGCGCCGCCAATGGTAGTTCCATATGAAAGCGGTCCAGCAATATCTGAGTGAATGAGTTGGAGTGGGGCTGTGGTGCGAGAATGGGACACGCCAAATGGCTGACGTGTTTGTTTCCCACGATAGCACGAGATGCAGGGGGGAATCGAGGTGGAGGAGAGGTGAAGACCGGTGACCAGCTGCTGCCGATGAAGTGTTGACAAGGCCTGCATGTTGAGATGCCCGAAACGACGATGCCAGAGGTACGAGGAGGTGGTGGTGGAGGCTGGACATGCAGTTGGCTTGATAGAAGGAGCAGCACTGCTCCCATGATGCAGTTGAAGATAAAACAGATTGTTGCGGGTCTAGCCCTCGCCAATAGGAACGTCATCAGATGTGAGAACAACGCGCCCAGCAGCGGGGAACGAGACGGCAACGCCGGCAGCACCAAGCGCACGAACAGAGAGCAGGTTGTGAACTGATGAAGGGAGAAATAGAACGTTGTCAAGCTGAATGGTGGTTTCCGATGTTGGTGACCGAAGAGTAGCCACCACCGTGCCGACTCCCAAGACCTTGTAAGTCTCTCCTCCACCAAAACGAACAAGGATCTCTTCGTTGGGCTTCTTGAGAGACGAAAACAGCGAACGATCCGAGCAGATATGGTAGGATGCGCCGCTGTCCACCAGCCACGACGAAGTCCGCTCCATATTGAATGAGGAGGCCGTGAATGCCGATGCGTAGGGAGCCCCATAAGGGAAGAGGAGGAGGAGAAGGAGGATGGTGAGAATGAAGACAGCAGCGACGAGAGGAGTCCATGTGGAGAAGATGGGGTGGTGGCTGGTGCTGACAGCAATGTCCACGTACCGGGAATCAGGTACGGACTGAGGGGTTGATGGGGCAGGAGGTGGTGTGGGGGTCGGAGTAGCTTCAGCAGAGGAGCTGGTGGAGACATGCACCGAGGGTTGGAAGACGGATTTCTCCCGTTTAGAGCTTTCTTCAAGCTCTTTCTTCTTCTTCAATTTGAAGCACTCATCGATGGTGTGACCCGTTTTCTTGCAGTAACGGCAGGTGGGCGACTAGCGTGAACCGGAGCGAAGAGGGTGGGAGGGCTGGGAATTGAGGTTGTATGCACCCTCCATGTTACGGCTTGTACCAGATTGTGACCGCTCCCAATCGGCATCGAGTAGGCGTGACTGTAGGTATTCAACCGTCATAGACTTTATGTCTTTCACGGTGCAAATGGTTTCAGTAAGGGTCTTGAACGAGTCCGGAAGGTTGAGGATGATGGAGATTACCACCACCCATGATGGTAGCTCAAAGCCGGCAGATTTGAGTTGGTGTGTAAGGTTTCCAACTCGATCAAAGTAGGAGCGAAGACTTGTTGTTGGGTCCATCCGTGTAGTGATGAGATCCCGGAGGAGAGCCACTTGTGCATGGTTGCCCATGCAGTCGAAGCGCGCCATGATGCATCCCCACATATCCTTTGTCGTGTTGGCTTGAGCAAGAGTGAGCGATAGTTGAGGATGGACGGCTGACATGAGAAGATAGTATGCATGCTCCTCTTTTTCTTCATCCGGCAGCGAAGCAATCGAATGGGCTGTCTTAGGGGCTGCACCGCTGTTGCCTTCGGTAGTCTCTCCACCGCTGGTTGTGGAAGAGGAGATTGAAGGACGCGAAGCAACCTTGGGATCTCCAAGGAGGGAGATCAGCCCGAGGACATTGAAGATGTAGCAGATCTTTTTCTTCCATGGAATGAAGTTGGAACCATCTGGTTCCAAGGTGGGAAGGGTGTGCCGACCGAGAGGCGTTTCAACTTGAGCCATGAAGTGTGCAACGTTCACTAAGCTAGAAGCCTTGCTCTGATAGCATGTAGAATGAGGATCGGTGAACTTGAGGCACAATGAGAGAAGAACAATATATCCTTAGTAGGAAGATGGTACAAGCCTGAAAGGCTAGAGCAATGTCCTTTCCAAGGATGAGTTCTAGAGAAGTGGGAAGCCACATTTATGTGGCTGAACTCTTGAGGCTAGCTGCAGCACCTCAAAGCTGAGGGCAGGGCTAGCCAACCTTGCCAAGCTAGCAATTGAGGCCACATGTTGCACATGTGGGCCAGGCTGGAACAACAGCCTACATGGCAGCATGTGGCACACCATAGGAGCCAACAAGGTGAGTATGGGATGGGTGGACAGATGGCAATGCCAACTGTGACCACACTTCACTGTGGGTGAGTGTGGTGGAGTGTGGGAGTGTCATGTTCGGCATAATGAGAAGAGAAGGTGCTGCCGATGAGAGTTGAACCCGCGACCACTAAGACCAAAGGTACCCACTGGGACATTCTTGCTTCCACAACACCTATAAACCCTATGATAGAGATAGGCACCCAAACAATGTTTGGGTGCACAATTAGGGTTAACCCTAGGTGGGGGTTGGAACCCAACCTTGGCCCAATTATTGGACCCCAAGGTTGGGTTGGAGGATTATTGGCCCCCCCAATAATGTTGGCCCACTTTGACCAACATTATTGGGACCCCCCAATAATTCTCCAACCCAACTTATTGGTGGGGGCCAATAATGTTGGCTAGGTACCAACCACCCCCCTTTCCTTAGCTCCAACTATGTAAGCCCTCATCATTCCTAATCAACTCATCGGTTCAATTCTCACATGTTATCCAAGCTCTTACGGCTAACGCCACTCAAGATCCTAGGACCATACTCTACCTCCCGCCGGCTCTGCCGTGCCCCTTGCGCCACTTAGCACACCTCCCGACGGCTCAGCCGTGCCCCTCGCGCCGCTCAGCGCACCTCCCGCAGGCTCTGCCGTGCTCCTTGCGCCACTTAGCGCACCTCCCGCCGGCTCAGCCGTGCCCCTCGCGCCGCTCAGCGCACCTCCCGCCGACTCTGCCGTGCCCCTCGCGCCATCTCGGCGCCCCTCTCCTCACCACGTCCGCCCGCCGCGACGAACGCGACCGTCAGCCGCGGACGCGACGAACGCGCCCATCAGCCGCGGCCGCGACGAACGCGACCGTCAGCCACGGACGCGACGAACGCGACCGTCAGCCGCGAACGCGACGAACGCGACCGTCAGCCGCGGACGCGACGAACGCGGCCGTCAGCCGGGGACGCGACGAACGCGGCCGTCAGCCGGGGACGCGACGAACGCGGCCGTCAGCCGCGGACGCGACGAACGCGGCCGTCAGCCGCGGACGCGACGAACGCGGCCGTCAGCCGCAGACGCGACGAACGCGGCCGTCAGCCGCGGACACGACGAACGCGGCTGTCAGCCGCGGACGCCGCGGAGACGCCCACCAGCTGCGGATGTCGCGGATGCCGCGGAGACGCCCACCAGCCGCGACAGACCCTGAATTAGGGTTTGCTGCTACCGCCCGTGGAGCAGCCGGACCGCTCTGTCCCTCAAGAAGGTGTCGTCTACCTCCCCTCCCTCCCTCCTCCTCCTCTCATGGCCGACGAATCAACCTCGCTTGAGCTTGCCTCCATCGACAAGCTCCAGCTCCTCAACGGCACCACCGGCGTCAATTGGGTGTCGTTTGAGGAGAGCCTTTTCACGTACCTGGGCTCCGTTCGAGTGGGAGATTACTGCCTCCTAGACGTTGTCCTCGAAACACCTGATGGCCTCCCCCCCACTCCGCCCCCATCGCAGGCTCCTCCCCCCCCGACGCCCCACCACTCCCGACCGAACCTGCCCCCCAAGCCCCTATCCTAGGGGCTTGGGAGGATGATCCAGACAGGTGGGCTTGCACGCTCAACAAATACAACAAGGAGCGGGACGACTATGTCATCAAAAGCAGAGCACACGCAGCTGCCATCGCCGATCACGAAGCTGCCACTGGAAAACTTGCAGAATTCAAAGCCGCCTCCAAAGAGTACTCTGCTAAGCTCCGTCAGCACCACTCCGATACAGCTGCATGGCGCATTGCTGACCGCCGTGCACTTACTATCATCTTCTCATGCGTTCCCTCCTCTCTCAAGCGTGACCTTCGCCCCCCATCCTCCCCCTCCCTCTGGAAGTCTCTCTCCTCCCAATATGATCGCCAAGACTTACGTTCCCTCCTCTCCCTCTTTCGCACCTTCCAAGACATCACACTGGACTCCTCCCTCAACGCTGCTTCCTTCGCTCGGCGTCTTACGGACACTGCACAACGTCTCAATGATCGTGGCATCTTGATCTCCGACACCCTCCTCACAGCACGCATCCTTGACTGCCTCCCACCCACCTACGACATTTACCGCATCAATTTCACCTCCCAGCACATCCGTCCTCCTCCTGTGGCTGTTACCATCGACTGGCTCCTTGACAGTGAGGCTAACCTTCTGCGTGAATCTGCCTCCATCAATGCCGTTCATGCGCGCAAAGGAACAAACACCGGCGGAAGCAGCGGGGGCGGACCACGACGTGGCTCGGGCGGTGGTGGAAGAGGAGGCGGTCGCGGAGGTGGACGAGGAGGGCGCACTGGGGAACGTGGCGGGCGTGGGGCAACCACTTCAACCACGGGTGGGCTCCCTCCATGCCAGTATGTCATTCGCCAAGGCCCTAACAAAGGTCAGACCTGCAACCAGACCACCCATCCCACTGATACGTGCTTCAAAGCTCTCACCGACGAATGGCTTGCACGCGGCAACACGGGCCCTCCTCCACGTTGGAGCACCATCACCCCTCGCCCGACCCCTCATGACATTCGCACCCTCCCCGCCTATGCACCATCTCCCCCCAACCTCCATAATGTCCTCGCCCAACACCTCTCCCCTCACGTCCTCCAGCAAGTCCAACACCTCCTCCCCACACCCACCACCACCCCAACGCCTCCCACCCTCACCACACCCACCCTCGCACCTCAAACCCCTCCCTCCCCCTATCCTCCTCTCTCCCCTTATCCTCCTCCTTACGCTGGCTGGCCCTACCCTCCCTACCCCCCATCTCTGTATGGCCATGGGACAGCTGCAACTGCTGCAACTGCTGAACTACCCACCTCTCCCTCTCACCCCCCCGGCTTCACACCGTTTCCTTCCACGGGTTTCATAGGTCATGTCACCACTGCTAGCTCTTGCAATGATCCTATGTATGCCAGTGCTATTAATGAGTCCTCATTCCAGTACTCCGAGTCCCCCTCCTCCTCAAAGCCCCTTGAGTTCATCCTTGATAGCGGAGCTACGCACACGGTCCTTCGTGACGCAGGCACGCTCCTCCCCCTCTCCACCCCTTCCACAATACTTGGGGCTGACTCCAGCTTTGCGATACAAAGCCGTTACACCTCCACACTCCCCTGTCCCCTCTTTCCCTCAGATACTGTCACAGGTCTCTATATCCCCTCCCTTCGAAACAACTTGGTATCCCTTGGTGCCCTCTCCGACTCAGGTGTCACCGCCATATTCCCTGGTCACAAAGCATATTGCGACTTATTTCACACCTCCTCTAGTCGCTTCCTCTGCCGTGTCCATCGGTGCCCCTCCACCCACATGTACACCTTCCACATCCCCCGTCCCACCCTTCACCAACTCTCCACACCCCATCCCCCCGCCCCTTCCCCTCCTCTCGAACTCCCCCCTCCCCCTCCCCCTCCCCCTCCCCCTCCCCCTCCCCCTCCCCCTCCCTCTCCCCCTCCCCCTCCCCCTCCCCCCTCCCCCCCGCCCCTTCCCCTCCCCCCGCATCTAACCCACCCTCCCCCTGTCACTGTCGTGATCTCACACACCCCACCATTCTCCTCCACCATCGCCTCGGCCATCCCAACTTTGCCACCCTTCGCCGATCCATCCTCACTAAACCCCAACCTCCATAATGTCCTCGCCCAACACCTCTCCCCTCACGTCCTCCAGCAAGTCCAACACCTCCTCCCCACACCCACCACCACCCCAACGCCTCCCACCCTCACCACACCCACCCTCGCACCTCAAACCCCTCCCTCCCCCTATCCTCCTCTCTCCCCTTATCCTCCTCCTTACGCTGGCTGGCCCTACCCTCCCTACCCCCCATCTCTGTATGGCCATGGGACAGCTGCAACTGCTGCAACTGCTGAACTACCCACCTCTCCCTCTCACCCCCCCGGCTTCACACCGTTTCCTTCCACGGGTTTCATAGGTCATGTCACCACTGCTAGCTCTTGCAATGATCCTATGTATGCCAGTGCTATTAATGAGTCCTCATTCCAGTACTCCGAGTCCCCCTCCTCCTCAAAGCCCCTTGAGTTCATCCTTGATAGCGGAGCTACGCACACGGTCCTTCGTGACGCAGGCACGCTCCTCCCCCTCTCCACCCCTTCCACAATACTTGGGGCTGACTCCAGCTTTGCGATACAAAGCCGTTACACCTCCACACTCCCCTGTCCCCTCTTTCCCTCAGATACTGTCACAGGTCTCTATATCCCCTCCCTTCGAAACAACTTGGTATCCCTTGGTGCCCTCTCCGACTCAGGTGTCACCGCCATATTCCCTGGTCACAAAGCATATTGCGACTTATTTCACACCTCCTCTAGTCGCTTCCTCTGCCGTGTCCATCGGTGCCCCTCCACCCACATGTACACCTTCCACATCCCCCGTCCCACCCTTCACCAACTCTCCACACCCCATCCCCCCGCCCCTTCCCCTCCTCTCGAACTCCCCCCTCCCCCTCCCCCTCCCCCCTCCCCCTCCCCCTCCCCCTCCCCCTCCCTCTCCCCCTCCCCCTCCCCCTCCCCCTCCCCCCGCCCCTTCCCCTCCCCCCGCATCTAACCCACCCTCCCCCTGTCACTGTCGTGATCTCACACACCCCACCATTCTCCTCCACCATCGCCTCGGCCATCCCAACTTTGCCACCCTTCGCCGATCCATCCTCACTAAACTCCTTGACGGCCTCCCCCTTACCCTTTCCCCCCTCCCTCCTTCCCCCTCTCTTCCTTGCTCAGTTTGTGTTGAAAGCAAGCTGAAGCAACAACCACATACGAGTAACCCCTCTTTTTCCCTCCAACCCCTTGACCTCGTCCACATGGACCTTTGGGGCCCCAACCCTTCCCCCACCGACAAGGACATCGCGACCTCCTCATTCTGATGATCACAGTCGATACTCCTCCGTCACCCTCCTTCGTACGAAGGCGGAGGCCCCAGTTGCCATCACTGCCTGGGCTGAACAAGCACGCAACCACTTCGGTCGCCCTGTCCGTTGCTTCCATTCCGATGGAGGTGGTGAGTTCCTCAACCGCACCCTGTCCTCCTACTGCACCTCTCACGGCATCCTCCACACCTACACTCTCCCTCACTCCCCTCAGCAGAATGGTGTGGCGGAGAGCCGCGTTCGGGAGATCACCAAAACTGCTCGGTGCCTCCTCGTTCACGCCTCCTGCCCACCTTCTCTTTGGGGCTATGCCATCCTTCACGCTGCCATCCTCACTAACCTCTACCCCCACCCCTCTCGTACCACCTCCACCCCCACTGAACTATGGACCTCCAGCAAGCCTAACATATCCCCTCTGCGCGTGTGGGGTTGCAAGGCGTATGTCCTCATACACCCTGCCGACCGCCCACGCGCACGTGGAAAGCTTGCGTCTCGCACTCTGCCCTGTGTCTACCTTGGACACAACACCACCTCACCTGACTACCTTTTCCTCCACCCCTCCTCAGGCCGCCTCATCCGTAGTCGGGACGTGGTCTTTCACGAGGCCACCCCGTACTACACCTCTTCCTCCGCCCCTAACCCCCTTCCCCCATTTCCCGGGCCCCTTCTCTAGACTGACACACTGCCCCTCCTCCCGTCCCCTGCCATGACCCCTCCCCCCCCTCCTCCACCCCTCCCCCCCGCTCCCCTCTCCTCCAGCTCCTCCGGCGACATCCTTAGCCCACCCCCCCCCCTCCCCCTCCCACTCCACTACCTCACCTTCCGCTGCAACTCACCTTCCTCCTCCTCCTCCCCCTACTCCACCTCCCTCGCCCCCTTCCCCTCCCTCCCCACTCCCCTCCTCTAATCCGCCCCCCCCTCCACCTCCCCCCCCCCTTCCCCGGCGCCCCTCCCCTACCCTTGTCCTTCCCCACTATCCCCACACCCGCTCCCTGGACCCCATCCTTGGTTCCCCACAGACTTCCCCCCCCTCCCTCCTCGCCCTCACCGGTACTCCCCTCCCCCCCCGCTTCAGCCCCCTCACTCCAGATCCACTGCGCAACCGCTCCGCGCTCCTGACTACACCACCACGCAGCCGAGCAGCAGCACTTCCATGTCTCAGATTTGACCTCCAGCGCAGCTGTCTTGCATCTTCACCACCCCCTCTACCTCCTCCTCTCTCTCCTCTCCTCTATGAAGACACCCACGACGAACTCCTCTTCCTCCACCTCCTCGCGCCCTCCATCGCCCCCATCGTCCGCACCATGGCGGGCACTCCAGTTCTTCTTTTCTCGGGCACCCCCACCATCTTCGAACCCACCACGTATGAGGAGGCTATTGCCTGCCTCGACGCACCGCTCTGGATTGAAGCCATGGTCAAGGAGAGCACCGCCTTCATCCACAACCGCTCCTTCATCGACGTCGCTCGCCCTGTCAAGACCAATGTCGTCAAGGGCAAATGGCTCTTCCGTGTCAAGCTTCTCCCTGGCAAAGACCCTGTCTACAAAGCTCGCTATGTGGCGAAGGGCTTCACGCAGAAGCACGGCTTTGACTTCTTCGAAACATACTCACCCACTGCTACCCCACCGGTCGTTCGGGTGTTCCTCAACTTCGTCGGCAGACGCGGCATGCTGCTGACCTCCATGGATGTCACTACCGCCTTCCTCCAAGGCGACCTACACGAACTCATCTTCATGGAACACCCCAAAAGCTTTCATGCTCCACATGACCCGTCCACCGTTTGGAAGCTGCTACGGCCTCAAGCAGGCACCCCGGGAGTGGCATGCCAAGCTCTCTTCCACCCTTCGCGAGCTTGGTTTTCGCCCCTCCCGAGCTGCCTCCAGCCTCTTCCTTCGGACGGCTCCGTCCCCTTTCTACATTCTTGTTTACGTCGACGACATGCTACTAGCTGCCGACACAGATGCTGAGATGCAGGAGGTCAAGGACGAACTACAGCGTCGACTCGCCTGCAAAGACCTGGGGGAGGTCCGCAACTACCTTGGCATGGAGATCACCCGCGACCTCAAGGCTAAGACTATCTCCCTCTCTCAGTCCTTCTACATTGAGAAGGTCCTTGAGAGGTTTGGAATGTCCAAAGCCAAGCCCATCGCCACTCCGCTTGCAGTTGGGCATCAGCTCTCGCCCCCTGCCACCCCCACCGACTCCTCGAACCCCTATGCAGAGCTTGTCGGGGCCCTGATGTATGCCATGGTCTGCACCCGCCCCGACCTTTCCTACCCAGTTAGTGTTCTGGCGCGGTTCGTTGGTGTCGGCAGGCACACGGAGGAACACATGACGGCGGCCCGGCGTGTCTTACGCTACCTTCAGCATACGAAGAATTACTCTCTCACCCTTGGTGGAGCGGACCCGCCGGTTCTCACTGGCTTCAGCGACTCGTCCTGGGCAGATTCACAACCTGAAAGTCGCAGCTCACAGGGATATGGTTTCTCCCTTGGGAGCGGCCTCATCAGCTGGCGCTCCACCAGCTCCTCCTCCATCGCCCTCTCCTCCTGCGAAGCCGAACTATACACGGTCACGATGGCGGCACAGGAAGCACGCTAACTCAGCTATCTCCTCACAGACCTTGGCTCACCACAACCATGTCCCACCCTCTGGTGTGACAACGCTAGCACCATCCACCTCACAAAAAAAGGTGTCTTCCATGGTCGCTCCAAGCATATCGAGCTCCGACACTACTTCGTCCGCAACCTTGTCCAGGATGGCCACATCACCGTGCGCAAGATCGACTCATCCTCCAACCCCGCCGACATTTTCACTAAGACCCTCGACCGCGCTACTCACTCGGCAATCTTGCCCCTCCTGGGCCTTGCCCCCCATGGTGACTGATTCAGGGGTTGCTGTCTTATCTCATCCAGGTTTAAGGATCTCTGCAGGATAAGGGGTTGTGTTACATTATACTACGCTTCTGTATCCTGCATTGATCCTATAAACTCTAGGATAGAGATAGGCACCCAAACAATGTTTGGGTGCACAACTAGGGTTAACCCTAGGTGGGGGTTGGAACCCAACCTTGGCCCAATTATTGGACCCCAAGGTTGGGTTGGAGGATTATTGGCCCCCCCAATAATGTTGGCCCACTTTGACCAACATTATTGGGACCCCCCAATAATTCTCCAACCCAACTTATTGATGGGGGCCAATAATGTTGGCTAGGTACCAACCACCCCCCTTTCCTTAGCTCCAACTATGTAAGCCCTCATCATTCCTAATCAACTCATCGGTTCAATTCTCACAGAAGAGGGTGGTAGAAGGATGGGTTAGGGACGGAGAGGTGCGGTGGTGCTATTTTTGAGGCGCCACAAAAAAAGACTTCCCCACCGGCACTCTAGAGCTTGCACTGCTGCGAGTGGCTGCTACCTTTGAGGCGCCTCTAAAGTCCACCCCACCTCCACCGGCACTCTAGCGCTTGCAATGCTGCGTGTGGTTGACTTGACTTGACAGGAGAGAGGCCAGGCAGCAATGAGAGGCAGCAAGGGCGTACCTGGTCGTGAGCAGCAAGGGCGTACCTGGTCGTGAGCAGCAAGGGCGTACCTGGTCGTGAGCAGCAAGGGCGTACCTGGTCGTGAGCAGCAAGGGCGTACCTGGTTGTGAGCAGCAAGGGCGTACCTGGTCGTGAGCAGCAAGGGCGTACCTGGTCGTGAGCAGCAAGGGCGTACCTGGTCCTGAGCAGCAAGGGCATACCTGGTCGTGAGCAGCAAGGGCGTACCTGGTTGTGAGCAGCAAGGGCGTACCTGGTTGTGAGCAGCAAGGGCGTACCTGGTTGTGAGCAGCAAGGGCGTACCTGGTCCTGAGCAGCAAGGGCGTACCTGGTCGTGAGCAGCAAGTGCGTACCTGGTTGTGAGCAGCAAGGGCGTACCTGGTTGTGAGCAGCAAGGGCGTACCTGGTCGTGAGCAGCAAGGGCGTACCTGGTCGTGAGCAGCAAGGGCGTACCTGGTCGTGAGCAGCAAGGGCGTACCTGGTCGTGAGCAGCAAGGGCGTACCTGGTCGTGGGCAGCAACAGCGTACCTGGTCATGAGCAGCAAGGGCGTACCTGGTCATGAGCAGCAAGGGCGTACCTGGTCGTGGGCAGCAAGGGCGTACCTGGTCATGAGCAGCAAGGGCGTACCTGGTCGTGAGCAGCAAGGGCGTACCTGGTCGTGAGCAGCAAGGGCGTACCTGGTCGTGAGCAGCAAGGGCGTACCTGGTCGTGAGCAGCAAGGGCGTACCTGGTTGTGAGCAGCAAGGGCGTACCTGGTCGTGAGCAGCAAGGGCGTACCTGCTAAGGTGGTCATTTACGTTTACGTTTACGTAGGTACGTGTACGGGTACGTACGTTTACGCGGCTGTTGGGTTGGAGGCCTAATGTACGGGCAGGTTAAAAGTTTTCTGGGCTGCCCGAATATGTATATTTTTTCTGTAGTACTCCCTCGTGATTATGATTTCCGTCATTTAGTGTAAACATTCCATTACAACCTCGTAATTTCCCAAATAATTAAATAACCACCATGCATGCACGAGTCGTGCAGAATATCATATCATCCTCACTCCATAGGCTCTTCCGCTTCCTGGCCATCAAGATATGCCTCATCGGGGATGTCGTCGTCATCGAGATGCCCTTAGCTGTCAGTAGGTTCCTCCTTCACTTGCACCACAGGAAGCCCACTCACCACCAGCTTCTTAGCAACATCTTCATTTAACTTCTTCACTGTGTGATAGTTGTGGCTCACGTATACCAGGTCGGCAAGGCGTTTCGCTCGAAGGCGATTACGACGAGCTGTACGGATTGACTCCCAAACGGCCCAGTTCGTCTCACACGGGGAGGCCGAGACGCATTGCTTGAGAACTCTTTTTGCAAGCTTGGAGAGGTGTGGCACGTCCGTGCCATTGAATTCCCACCAATGCGCCGAATCCAAAAGCCCAGTTTTGATGAGTTCATGCTCATCACGCGCTTTCTGCTCCTCAATGTCTCCCTTCCCCTTGATGTACGTCAAGACCTCTTTTTCGACGATGGTTGCGAGTGGCGCCGTCACCCCTCCCACTTTCACGAATTCACCCTTGTAGTAATTGCGAATGAATTGCTTGAAGATCTTGGTACACTCCACGTCCGTTCCGAATATTGACTCGTATTGGTTTGGCGGGTACAGAATCTGTCCGACCACGTGAAGCGCGCAGTTGATGTCGTTGTTCCACCGATTCCGCACGATGTCGGTCACATCCTCCTCCTCCTCGGTCAGCTCCTTACACGCCTCATTCACCGCGTCCTCCAAAACAAACATTTTGTCATAGATCTTGCCCATCACCTCCTGATTGCCGTCAACATTCCGCAACAGCTTGAAGACCGGACGAAGCACATCGAGCACCGTCCCAACGCGCGTCCAGAACTCCTTGTCGATAATAGTATCCCATGCGTCCTTCATTTTCGGCTTCCCCTTGACGTACTCCTCCCAGTCCTCACTCGACACCAGCTTATCGAGAGTTTTGCGCACTGCCTGCAGGCGTTCGAGGGCGATGTAGTTTGTTCCAAAACGGGTGCCTGCAGGTTTCAGGATTTGTAGCGCCTTTTCCTTCCGAAGAACCCCCGTAATCCAGTGCGCGTTCTTCAGCGTCGTAATTAGCTGTTGCGCGCGGTCGATGGTATCCTTGGCCCAATCGAGTTGGCCAATGTCCTGCATCATTAGATTGAGAGAATGCGCACCGCAACGAATCCACTGAACTTTTGGGTACTCGCGGGCGATGATGCTGGCAGCATTGACATTCGCGGACGCACCGTCCATCAGCAGGCCGACAACGTTCTCCGTTCCCACCATGACCATTGCCGTCTTCAAGTGGCCAGCAATGAATTATGCTCCCTTCTTCTCCGTGCCGCAATCCACCCCAAAAAGAAAAACGGATGCAATCGTATTAACAGCTAAGAAGTTCAGCTGCGGACGTCCTTCGCTGTCGGTCCAACCGTCACATGCGATGCATACCCTGACATCCTTCCATGAATCCTTCACCTCCTTCAACGCAGCGTCGGTGTTCGCTTTGCACTCCTCCAACAATCTTCCCATTATGAGCCGTCGTCCTGGAGGTGTAAATCCTGTACCAGCAGCAGCAACCTTTTTCAGCATCGTCTTGAAAGCATCGTGCTCCGCAACATTCGGCGCGATACGACACACGTGGAAAAACGTTGCAATGGCTAGTTGCGCACTCGCCGCGTCGACGGGTTTGGGGCGAGTATCCATAAGAGTACGCTGCGTTGCCTGTCTCTTGCGCGCCATTGTGCTACTTTCCGCTAAGTTGGAGCCACTCGCCGCCATGCCCGTCGACTTGGTGTTCGTAGTAGACGATGGCGAGAATGCATCGGACGTTTTCTGTTGGGCTTTCTCGCGAGAATCAGATTCCCTCTTCTTATCATCCATCGCAGAACGAATTTTTTCCTTATCCTCAGGTGTAGCTGAGGCGCATGGCGTGATTCCCCTCCCGGGAATTCCGAGAATGTGGGCCTGAGCCCGCGCCACATTCAGTTTCCACGACTTCCCACATCGCTTGCATTTCTTAGCTAGCGTAGAATCAGATGTTCCGCCCTGAGGAACAATGAAGCATCGCCACACGGGATGCTCGGAAGCGGTCTGCGTAGGAGTCTCCATAGTACTAGTATAATCTGTTGGAGTGTGTTGGTTAAGTAGATAGAGTAGATAGACGAATTGACTCGGCGAATTTGTTTGACTCGATGTTGGGATTTGCAGAAACCAGTGAAGCTCGGCGGTGACGAAATTGCCGAGCGGGAGACAGTCGCTTACTTTGCAAGCGAAGCAACTGCGAGTCAAAATGTTCGCATTGTTCTATCGCGAACATTTTGACTCGCATTCAGATCTACTCCCACCTCCTTCCTCACTCTCTCGTCAAACTTACCTATCGTAGTACCCTAAGCCGTAGCAACATAGTCGACGTAGTACGCAGGGTAGTCGCCACACCATAGCCACCCTAACTAGCAACCTTCTTATTTCTTACATTACTACTAAGAGAATCGCCGCGCCGCTTTACTACCACGCTAACAAAGCACAGGTCGTCGAAAGCGTTTTTCCTTTTTTAGTTTTTTCGAAATCCGTTTTCAAAGAAATTCCTAGCGGATTTTTTTTCTGACCTGCCCGGCGTACGTACACGTACGTACACGTACGTACACGTAAACGTAAACGTACGCGTACGTTACGTGTACGTGGCCTCAAGTGGCGTAAATGACCAACTTAGCGTACCTGGTCGTGAGCAGCAAGGGCGTACCTGGTCGTGAGCAGCAAGGGCGTACCTGGTCGTGAGCAGCAAGGGCGTACCTGGTCGTGAGCAGCAAGGGCGTACCTGGTCGTGAGCAGCAAGGTCGTACCTGGTCGTGAGCAGCAAGGGCGTACCTGGTCGTGAGCAGCAAGGGCGTACCTGGTCGTGAGCAGCAGTGGGAGCGTAGCTGGCCCTCATCCTTGGAGCCCCATCCCACCTCCACCGGCACTCTGACACTAGGTGGGCGTGTTACGTAGTGACAACATGTGCACACCTTAGAGGCAGTGGGAGCGTGGCTGGCCCTCATCCTTGGAGCCCCATCCCACCTCCACCGGCACTCTGACACTAGGTGGGCGTGTTACGTAGTGACAACATGAGCACACCTTAGAGGCAGTGGGAGCGTAGGTGGCCACATAGAAGAGAGGCCCCTCGTCCTTGGAGCCCCATCCCACCTCCACCTCCACACGCACTGGGGCGCTTGCACTGGCACGTGTGGTCGACTGAGCAGATTCAGCGGTTTTTGAATCGAGTGTGCTTGTAGCGAGGGGCTGGATGGTCCACAGAGGGTGTGAGGCGGACAGCTCGTATGCTCCTGTTGTCGGCAATGGGTGGGTGGGTGGGTGGGCGGTCAAATCACAACCACAAATGCTACAAGCAGGAAGTGATCATAAGCCAACGCGGACAACACTGCTGCTGTGAAAACAAACCCCTTTGGTTGCTCTAAGGGCGTCCCACCCACCCAAACCCTTCCCCACCATGCATGACTCACCCACGGGAAGGCCTGTGAAGCTGAAAACACCACTGGCGTCTGTGACAGCCGTTGCTGCCACCTGCTGCTCTTGGAGCTGCTGCTGCTGTGACCCCCCCTCCTCTTTTCTATCACTGCCGCTACTGCTGCTGCTGCTTCCATTTGTTCCGGGAGCGGGTTGCAGGGTTACAACGATACCAGCAGGCCCTGTCAGGGGTGCTCCGCCTGCTGAGTCTGCTCCTGTTTCTGCTGAGCCTTTTCTTGCTTCTGTTGCTGCTGGCGAGTGACTGAGTATGCGGCCTGAGATGCCAAACCTGCTCCAGGAGAAAACAACAATGTCCTATTGCACTTTCAGGTAAAATCAACATGCTTATAGAGCGTGATAGCATACGCCGTCAAACCCTTCTAAGAAGTCTGAAAGGACTATCGTGAATGTTTCGACGGACCCACCCGTGAATGTGGAAATCTACGTCATTGCCCGCATTGCAGGAGATAGCATCAACAACCACCATCTGCATGATGTGATTGGGTGGATAATGCGATCAAGAGGATGCGAAGTTGGGGAGCGGTGGAGGAAAGACAACTTTGAGCCCACTCAAATGTCACCTCTTTGCAGGAGATGGCATCAACAACCACCATCTGCATGATGTGATTGGGTGGATGTGAGGATTGGAAAACTAGAAAAAGTTTTTGAAGAGATAAGGAGGAAATAAGAGGGGTGGGAATTAAGGAGAGAGGGGCTGAAATTGAGGAAATAGTGGCGGAAATTGAGGAAGAGATTGGGGATCGAAAACACAGGTGGGCATGGAATAGAAGGAAGTTACCTGGGGCGAGTGACCGAGTCTACAGACAAGCCATTTTTTTAGTCGACTCAAAAATAAACACAGGCGAGCACGGAATGGAATGGAATGGAATGGAATGGAATGGAATGGAATGGACTGGAATGGAAGTCACCTGGGGCGAGTGACCGAGTCTACAGACAAACCGTGGGGTAGGAACAGGTGGGGAGGAGGCAGCGGGGCACAGCTCGCGACAAAAGACAATCGAGCAAGGAAGGGAATAAGATGGGATTGAAAGATGCTCACCTTGGGCGAATCAACGGACCAGCTGGGAGGGGCACGTAGGGCGATGACGAAGGTCTCCTGAGAGGGGAGGACGAGGGGGAGGAGGAGGAAAGAGGGGAGGAAGGTGAGGCGGAAAGAGGAAGGAGGGTGGAGAAGAGGGGAGAGGGGGGTGGGTTAAGAGGAGAGAGAGCGGGAGCAAATGGGAAGGTGGGAGAGGGGAAGGGGAGATTGAGTGATGAAGCGAGTTCATGCGAAAGAAATCAAGTCAGCTTGAATGAGTTGAGAGTTCAGGTGGGAGGAGCTGGGAGGAGCTGGGAGTAGGTGGGAGGAGGTGGGGGGAGGTGGGAGGAAGTGGGAGAAGGTGGGAGGAGCTGGGAGGAGCTGGAAGGGCGATTGAGGAAAGAATATTGAACAACGTTTTTCAACAAGGGGAAGGGGATTTCAAGAGCAAAGTACTGGGACAGTGGGACAGAGGGAGGAGAAGATGGAGGGAGCCAGCAAAGGAGGGAGGGAGGGAGGGAAAAAAGCTGCGGATTCAGAGAAAAGCGCACCTGGAGGGAAGGAGGCATGAGAAAGTAGTAGCCATCCTCGTCACAGTGTGTCCTCTCATGCACAAAGCTGCCGCCATGGGACTGTAGCTCGACCTGTACCGTATTATATTAAAGATTCATCGCAAAAAAACTATATGAAATGAACAGAATATAAAAATTTGCGCATCACGACGTGTGTGATCAACACTATCATTTTGCATTCGATAAGGGCACACAGGCCATGATTTGCCATGCATAAATGCAGTGGACACGCAATCACCATGATGCGGGTGTAATCAACGCAATTTCTTCATGGTAGGGGTGTAATCAAGACATTACCATGACACGGGTGTAATCAAGACATTACCATGACACGGGTGTAATCAAGACATTACCATGACACAGGTGTAGTCAATACATTACCACGACACAGGTGTAGTCAATACATTACCATGATACGGGTGTAGTCAATACATTACCATGATACGGGTGTAGTCAATACATTACCATGATACGGGTGTAGTCAATAGCCTCTGAGTTGCTCCCTTGCCGCAGTAGAGATGTCAGATGAGCACTTGGCTGCGATATGGTCACATCAAAGTCAAACCAGAATAACAAAATTCTCAAATAATGGTCACAGCCCATCATAATTAAATAAGCACAACCATATGACAACAGACGTGCCAACCCTGGGACTCACTGCCATGTGTCATTCACTGTCATATGCCATTCATTATCATGTGTCCCTCATTCAGTGTCATGTGTATTGCCATGTGCCATTCAGTACCATGTGACATTCATTGCCATGTGTCACTCATTGCCACCCACGTGTCATTCATTGCCTTGTGTCATTCAATGACATGCATGTGCCATTCGTTGCCACGTGCCATTCATTACCATGTGTCATACATTATGTGTCATTCATTGCCACGTGTCATTCATTGCCATGCATCATCAAGTACCATGCGCCACGGCTTGTTGTGTGCTTCTCATTGTCATGGATCATACACAATGGCATGCATGCTGTTGTGTCATGACCTGTGTCGGGTACCATGGCATGTGTGAGATGGAGATGTCATCATGTGTGATTCGACAACATGCGCCTCACAGAATGACAGCAGGCGCCTCACTATACGACAGCACGCGCCTCACCACACGACAGCACACGCCTCACCTTGACAAACCCGCTGCAGCCCACCAGCACAGCCTCATCCCTCGCGTCCACTCTCATTGCAGCCCCCGTTAGAAGCACAGCTACGCATAGCGACCACAGAGCACGGCGCTGGAGACAACACTGCGTCAGCTTAAAGCGAAACATGACTGGTGGGGAGAGCCGACTGCTAGGATCCGAGATGATGCGAGCCAGACAACGGTGGTTGACGTGGCCTTCGCGATCCCTTTAAAGCCGACGCAAAATAGCACGCGGAAACATGCTCTGACGGGGCAACCTTGTCGGTATCTGAGCTACTTCTTCTTGAAGCGGAAACGCAAACGAATGCCGCAACTGACGCGGATACGAAAAGTCAGGTGCTTCAAACGACCGTGAGCAACTCGTTCTCAAGGTTCTATGTCACGGAGTACGGACAACGAAATCCCGTGGAGCTACGATTGCGAAGAACCAACTTACGAGA